TTTAAAGGGATTCTGAGAGCAGTAGTATTTTTCTGTGATCAGTCTCTTACTGTTACCAATGTGAGATTAAATACTTGTCATTGAGGATATGTGATCCTTAAGAGCTAAACTCACCTGGAACACTGATTATTGGAACTCTCTACTCAAGACTTTTGGGACTGCAATTTACTATTGTTTTGAGCTTTGATTACAGGGATAGCTGTCTGAGTTGTCATGAAGCCGATAGTAGAATGGCATGTGCTGCAGGCTGAGGACTGATAAAGGTGGATGTCTGTGCCTGGGAAGGATTTTGAAGACAACCTTGGACACAGCCTAGGTAGGATCTTCCTGACTCTATTTCCCAATCGTGCTATTTCCTTTCTGAAAAGGAAAATTCCCCACCTGATTAATCCTGAGCCCTGCCTTTAACATCTAGTGACTACGTGATTGGCTATCAGATATGACTCATGCCTGGAATTAAATAGAACTAAGGAAGTTCTTTCCTTTTGATATGATATATGACATTGTCCTTTTTCTTTCACAGCAAATATCTACAATCAAGAAGTTCTGTAAGTACAATACTAAATCTATTAAATACTAGATGGATGCTAAAACATCTCTGAGTTACCATAATAAGGTGCAAGTATGAATAGCTTGCAATTTTAACTTACATTCATGGCCAAATAAATAATATAGAGATAACATCCTCCTAAGGAAGAAATGATTAAACAAAGTAATAAGACAAAGATGTAATGTGATAGATGTCTAATTAAAAAGGACAGCAAATTTTGAGAAAAGCAACAGGATTAGACTGATCCCTCTAAGAATTATATACAGATGTATATGATTGGCTCCCAAAATTTGTCTATCGTGGAAATTCAAGCTTTAAGAGTGTTTTGGTAATAAGATCTCAGTTTTGGATTTTTACCAAAAAATTGTATAGGATAGTGGTAAAAGTAAGTGAAATTATATCTCCTTTATTGAAGTATCTGTCTGATAATTTTAAAAGGCTGAAGAGTTCATTTTATGGTTGCATTGCGGTCTGAGAGATTGTGACCCCTCAAAGACTGAAGTACACAATGGGGTCATCTGGAATGAATTCACAGACTCAAGCATTCTTTAAGTCAAGGTGGCAAAAAGTTTATTGTTATACTTTTCAGTGGGCAAGGATTCTTAAGGATCCTACGATCTTAAAGTGGTACAGTTAAAGTTTATATAGGATAAAATACAATAAAACACGTGCCAAATATGCTAACTAGATGGTTCAGGGTGGGATTAGGGAGTATTAAGGAGTGGTCAGTTCTTAAAAGAACATGCACTTCTTGTACCTACTGCGCAGGCATTTTACCAGAGCTCACTGGGAAAAGCCCACAAGGGTGGCCACATGGAGGTGTGGTTTTAGGCCTGCTATGTCACTAAGTTAACTAGAGTTCAGGGTAACTGAGAGTTGTCCAGTCTGCCACCAATCAATGTCTTGTTTGACAAGATAGATGTAGGGAGTATACATATGTCTTAAGTTTAGAATACAGATAATGAGGAGCCCAGGATGTAGTTAATGAGGTAGGGCAGTAGTATAGATAGTCCAGTGGGTAAGAATGTCTTTATGACCCAGTGCAAAGCCAGTTCAAACTAATAATTCCTTCAGGTGCTGTTTGTAACTGTACCAGAAAAAGAGATAAGGGTCTTGCTGGGGCCCACTCATGAGTAACTGCTAGGCACAGTATCCTTGGGCTGGGGAGAAACTGTCAGGGATAGTGTTTCTGAGGCTGGGGAGAAATTGGGGTCCAAGCACAAGCACCCAAACACAGGCACCCAAGCACCCCATCAGTTGGACCCTCACATTTTAAAGGATTCTTATACCAGGTATAGGATTTAGGCAAGGACAGAAGCAGCAGATAAATTGAAATTCTCTAAAGTTTCAAAAATGGAGAACCAAATTTAAGTGACTGTGCTAATTTATACTAAGTCAGAATTATCTGGGAACTTCCAGATTTAAACCAGAAAAGCAAAACTCCCTTTTTGAACTGCCTAAGAATAAAACCTATTGTACATGAGACATCTGGGATTCAAAGGCTTAAATGGATATTGGGAATAGGTTACTGGGATACAAGGAACTTAATGTTAGTTAATGTTGGCAATAATGATTGTATTGATTTATATGGATCAGGTTTAAGTTTTCTTATTTATCTTGGTGACATGTAAATCTCCCTTCTCAAGACTGGTCGATTATGAGCCCTTTAAGTAGCTTAATCTGTACCTGACTTAATGTAATTATGCAATTTTGTGAATTATGAGAAAAACTTTGTTGTTTTGTTTGAACCTGGCCCTGCATGGCAAGGACCTATGTTATGTTGTTTTCTCTCAACTGTCAACTTGTATGTCTTCTAAGAGCCCCGATCAGGTCTTTCTGACTGCTGTCAACTTGTGATATGGACTCCTGGATCATCTGAAGACAGCCACTCCAAGTGGACATCTCTTCCCACTCCCTAAGGAAGATGAAACTTTCTTATGTCTTCCTTGGTCTGCAGGTAATGTCTTTTGGTGCACCGTTGACCAAAAGGAGGGAATGTAGACTCGTCTCCAAACCATTTTGAACTCCAACACCTGAGAAAGGCCTAACATCTGGTTTGGCCAATCAGGAGAAACATTTCAGCCCACTCTGGGCTTAATCTACCATAATGTTTTGCGTGTTCTGGACATGTATTGCATTGCTCTTTGAGTGAACCCAGAATGCCCCTCCCTGTGTCAACAGCTGAAGCTGACCAAGAACATTCTTCAGTTTATGACCACTAAGGTGCCTTGAACCAGACACTACCTTGAATAGTGGGACTTTTCTTATCTTAGTATTGTATGGACATGTGCTATGTTATGTCATGTTAATGGTAAAAGAAACACAGATATCCTGGATCTATAATTTCAACAGACACTTTGACATTCTCCTATGTTATTGTATTTACAACCTATTCACTTAAGAAATTCCTTTCTCCTATCATGGTTAAACATTTGGAGATCATAATTTTGGCTGACATAGGCATCTTAAACCAGGAAGGGAGGGAGGAGTGGGAGGGAATTTTCCTGAACATATAATAATCTCTGTCTGTCCACCTTTGGGTATATTGTCTCATGACGAACTCCCGTGCATATCTCTATATACATGTTTCACAAGCTTTGAGAAAAACAAACACTCATATTCAGCCTAATTTTGTTTGTTTTCCTAAGAACGAATTTAGTAATGGGTGACAGAAATGGTGCCTTTGCTCAGATGGGACAGCGCTAGAGATTTTCCCTGGACAGCGCTGGCTGACAGCTGTCAACAACGGGGCCCAGATACCCAGGCAGAGAGGAAATTCTGCCAAAAGCTGAGAGAACTAGGAAATCCAATTTCATCATGGGATCATAGGATTTAGAGCAGCTAAAGGAAACACAGCAGAGTGGATAGAGTGCAGGACCTGATGCCAGGATAGACTTAGGTTAAAAAAGAAAAAAAAAAACCAAACTTAGTGCCTTGTTTTCCTCATCTGTAAAAGGAGAGGTTTGATTTTGATTGCTCCTAATGACTTCTCTACTTCTAAAGCTTTGATTTAGTCCAACTTGTTCATTTTAAAAACTTGACTGGTCAACAAGCAGTTATTAAGGTCCTAATATATACCAAGCATACAAGGAGAAAAGCAAACAGCTCTGCCCTCAAGGGGCTTACATTCTCTTGGGAGAACCAACATGTACATACACATATAAAACATAGGTACGCAAAAGACACATTCTAAGTCAAATACAAGGAAACCTTGGAAGGGAAGGCACTATTAGCTGGGGAGACCCAGGAAGGCCTCTGTATCGGAGCTGAATCTTGAAGGTCAAACAGAGGCTTCCAGGGAGGGCTGGTGATGTTCCAGGCAGGAGGGACAGCCAGTGCAAAGACACAAGGGTGGGAAATGAAGACCAAGAAGGCCAGAGTTCATGGAGGGGGGTGTGAATAGACTGGAAAGTTAGGAAGGAGCCTGGTTGTGAAAAGTTTGGAGGGTCACCCAGAGGACCTTCTGCTTTCGGTCCCCGCCTTAATAGGAAGCCACTAGAGTTTACTGAGCTGGGGAGCAGGGACAAACCTGTTGAAACCTGTGTTTTAGGAAAATCACTGTGGTGACTATGTGAAAGACGAACTGGAGAGGGGAAAGATGGGGGAACAGAACAAATAGGAGACAACTACAACTCTCCAGATGAGAGGGGCGACTGACAAGTGTTATGTGTGTGAGATTTGAACTCAGGTCCTCCTGACTCCAGGGCCAGTGCTCTATCCACTGCGCCACTTAGCTGCCCCTCGGACTTTCTTTACAATGCCCGTTAGTGAGGCTTCTCTCTCCACCCCCTTTCGCTTCAGCTCCCTTTTATGTTATCTTCTGTTAGACTGTAAGCTCTCTGAGGGCAGGCACTATTCTTCTTTCTGCTTTTAGTTGTGTTCCCAGCATAGTTAGGGCTTAATATCTTGGAGAGGAGTGCATTTAGAGATTTGACTTCGTGCATATTCTCTGTTCAATGTCAAACGATCAACACTAATTACGCGCTTGCTGCGCGTCAGGCACTGTGGGAAGCGCTTGGGGATACCAAAGGAGGCAACTTTTAGTGTTCTCGTTGAGAATCAAATAAGATAACACTGCGATTACAAAGCGGCTGACACGTAGTAAGTACCACGTACGTGATCGCTATTATTATCATCATTATTTAGTTCTGGTTCGGGTTTCTTCCCTGCATTAGTTCAGTTTCTCTGAATTCCACGTCCTCGGTTTTTAAAAGGTGCTGTAATACTACATCACAGCCATTCCCCGATGCAAGGGTCCTGGTTTAGCGCCTGGTTGTCACTTTTTGCTGCTACAGAAGTGAAGTATATTGGTGTGCACCAGCCCTCCCTTTGCTTTGACCTCTCCCCTTACTGGAGCTCTGGGTTAAAGGGCAGGAACCATTCAATCACTTCTCTCCAGCGCAGTTCCCGCGCTACAAAGGCCCTCCCTTTCCTCCTCCCTCCGACCTAGAGGAGAAACTCCCCAGTCCCGAGAGGCGGGAGGCGGGACTGGGTGGGGGCGGGGCAGAGGCTCTTCCAGGAAGCCTGGGATTGGCCTGCGTCGGTGTCCACTTCCTAGTCCCCCCGGCCGAGCGCACGCCGCGGAGGCGGGGCATCGCCGGAAGGGGCGGGACGGCGCGCAGTGGCGCGAAACCCAGCTGCGGCTTCCGTTTGGAACGTTGTGTATCCTTTTGTATCCTCGGCTGTGCTCCCGGCGTTCCATCCGCGGTCCCCCGCCTGCGCTCGCAATGGCGCAGCGCAGAGTCACCGACTTCTTCTCCTTGCGCAAGGGCTCGCGGGCCGGAGCCTCGGCTCTCCGCGGCCCCTTGAAGCTCCGCGGGAGCCCGGCCAAGCCGGAGGGGCCCCTGGGCCCCGGGGCGCGCGCCCGGCCCCGAGTGGTCTCCCCGCGCACCCCGGCCCTGGCCTCCGGCAGTTCGGCCCCCGCGCCGACGGGCACCCCGAGCGGCAGCGGCAGGAAGCGCAGCCGCCAGGCCTCGGACCTGGACCAGGAGGCGGAGGCCCCCCCGGTGCGGCGCGCGGCCCGGAGGAGGCTGGTGCTTTCCGCCGACCCCGAGACCCCGGAGGTCACGGTGAGCGATTCCCCAAGGGGTCATCAGAACCGGGCATTGTGGTTACAGCAGTCCCCGGTTCCAAGTCGGCTGTAGCTCAGTTACCTTCTCCAGCTACTTAACAGCACCTGGCATACAGCAGGCGCTTAATACATGCTTCTTGCTTGAGCGCCTGCAAAATGGAAATGCTGACAGTGCCTGCGGAGCTTGCAGGATTGGGTGTAGGACCGAATGAGGTCACTGATAAAGAGGCTCTACGTCCTCCCCACTAACTTATTTTAAAGATGGGGAAGAAGTTCCCCGGGCTACACCCTGTGGGTGGAGTGTCAGAGCCTGAGGGGGATTGAGCGCCGGGCTTCCGGCTCAGCTTTGGGGGGGTGGTTGGGCTGAGCGTGGGGAGGGGCCAGCAGCAGGGGTGACCTCGGAAGGCCACCCCCTGGCTTAGTACTGAGTCCTGGTTAGGCACTGGCCTTCCACTCAGGGGGTTCTCGATTCGAATCCCCCACGGACAGCGTCACCGCTCAGTGACTCTTGGGCTCCTCATTTACAAAAGTAGGAGTTGGACCCTGGGATCTTTTACGGGGCCTTTCCAGCTGGAAATCTATAGAGATCTTAGGTTATGCACAGATAGGAAAGTCAAGGGGACTAGGTAGGTATCCACCCCCAAAGGACTGACCTGGAAGCTTTGCCGCAGCCCCGGGGGCTTTAGAAGGACAGTCCCCTGGTCTCATCCTCCGCCCAGAGCTAGGAGCGAAGGGGCCAAGTGCCTGTAGAGCGATAGGGTTCCACTTTCTCATTCCTCTGCTTGCCGGGTTGATTTAAAGACAGTTGTTCGCTGGGTGGGTTTGTCAGGAGGGCAGTGGGCCTCCTCCCCAGCCAGGGAGGTCTCCACTTGGAGGCTGGATCGAAGGACAAGTGGTCACTTGTTAAGGATTTGCAGAATGGATTTCTCTTTGGGGCGGTTTGTCCCAGAGGATATCTGAGGTTTTTCTAATTCAGTTTTGGAATGTTAAAGCTGGAAGTGATTTCTGGGGATCATCTTAACCGCAGGGGCTTACACTGATGCAGTGCTTTCTGCAGGACAAGACTGGGCACAAATGTCATTATCTCCATTTGACACATGAAGAAACTGAGACCCAGAGAGGGGAGGTTACTAGACCATGATGGCACAGTAGTAGTGATGGCGTCAAGACCAAGACCTCGGCCTCCTGATTCGCCCGTCCAGTGTTGTTAAAAGTTATTATCATACTACAGTTTTTCTCTTAAGTAAAAATATAATAAAATTGAAGAGCTAAATATATGAACCGGGAGAGTGGTGGAAGGGGTGATTGATCCAAGGACATGGTCTCTAAGGCCTTTCCCAGCACCTAACTTTCTGAATATGTGCTTTTGCCTCTCACCGTTCTTACAAATGGGTGAATGGATTTCTTGGGTTCAGTAGGAAGCCTTTGACCTTGTGTAAGGGAAAGGTGGGCTACTTCCTGCATTTATTCAGCAGACTTTAAGCACCCAGCACAGTTGGGAACCCTGCTAGACTGAAACCAGACATGTCGAGATGTCGGTCCAGGACTCCTCTCTTCAGCAGCTGTCCATCCTCAAGCAGCTGCTGTCTGTGAGAGGCTGTATACTCATGAATACAAAGAGGGCTCAGACAGAAGCTCTCAGGAAGAGCAGGATTGAGGTCCCAGCTCTGCTATTTCTTGAGTGATTTGGGGTGTAGCACCACATCTTTCTCAGCCTCAGTTTTCTTAATGGGGATACAAATCATCCTATAGAGTTGTTGTGAGCTTGGAATGAGATAATGTATGTGACAGGCCTTATAACCCATAAAGCATTATCTGAGGGTGAGCTGTTATTTTCTCTAATTGGTCACATCATGCGCTTGGTGTGACCTAAGGTTCTTGAGGTCAGGGTCCATCACTCCTTTACTGCTGTCTTAGGTTCTAGGGGGAGGGCTTCATAAATGTTTGCTTCCAGAATGCACCTGGCTGTGACCTTGAAGGCAGAGAGATGCTCAGATACCGACCTTGACTTTTCATTTTTTGTCCCTCATACAGGTTTCTAGCTCATGTTCATCCACTTCCCCCTCTCTGGGGAAGGAGGTAAAGACTGTTCCCTTCTCCCCAGCCTCAAAACCCAGCCCGGATTCCCCAGAAGTCATCGTAAGTAAATCCCTGCAGAGATGAATATTGTCGGTGTACCTGGTCCTCAGCCCTGGTAGCTTAATCCTGCCTGTCCTGGACCTTAGGCCCAGGAAGGGAATAGAACTGGTCTGTGAAAAGGTGCCACGTTGCACTTTACTTTCCATTCGAGACACACTCCTGAAAGACTGCTCAGGCTGACATCAGATACCTGGGCTGTGCCTGTGGCCTTGCACATGGCATCTAATCCCCTTCTGAAACTAAGTTGTTTCATATGTAAAATGAGAATATTAATACCTATAACGGCCTGGGTATTGCTGAGATAACACCTGGAAAAGTATTTTGTGAATTACGTAGTGCTTTGTCTGTGTGAGATATTATTTAATAAAAATCTGTTTAAACTGGGGGAACCACTTGTTTCGAGGAGCCCTTTATTTTTGGTTTTTGTTTTTTTTTTAAAAAGTAAATAATCCTTTTACAAAATAAGGAATGCCCTCCACTGATTTTGTCTAAATTTGAATTTTTACATATGGGGTTTGCCTCTCTGCTTAGCCATCTGTCTGTACAAAGCTGCTCCATAAGGGAGAGTTTCTGGGGGTCTTGGTGCCTGGGCTGGGCATCCCTTCTCACTCTCCTTCCTACCCCTTAGGGCCACTCAAAGCCAGACCTTGCTGAGCTCAAGTCCCGCCTGCAGAAGGTTCGGGAGCTGACCCACAGAGCCGCACCCCTCACCTCCACCCCAAATGCCAGCGTCAGCCTCAGAAACCGACTGCAGCGTGCCCGGGAGCTGGGGGCCCAGATCCAGGCTAGGACTTCTGCTGGCGAGAAGGAAAGTGAAGAGCCAGGTCCCCAGGAGGTGGGAGACCCCACAGCAGCACCATGGTGAGAGCCTGGTAGGGAGGGGAGGGGGGAACAAGAGCCTGAGAGGCCTAACATGCCCCCAAACCATGAACCCGGCAATATTCTCCCTGCTTCTGATGATACAGGAAGAAAGAATCTGAGGCTTTGTCAGTCTGCAGGGATAGACGTCCATGGCGGTGGCCTTAGTGCCCAGTTGAGCATTCCCACTTAGCATTCTTTTTTTCCCCCCCAAAATACAGGGTATCTGTCCCAAAAGTCTTAGTGAAGTTTTAAGCCATTAAAAACGTTAACAGCTATTTTAATAAGTTACTTTAATAATTTAATGAAAAAACATTTTTAATTTTACAAAACTTTGATAGCTTCATAAAATTAAAAATGTTTAAATGAAATTTGAATTTCGTTTATATAAACTATATTTAAATACTAAATTTAGTTTAAATTTTAAATAAATTTTAAAGTGGTGTTTTAGTAAACTAGTAAAGCTTTTTTCATTAAAATTTCTATTTTAATTCAATTCTGTTTTAATTTAAATATATTAAATTAAATTTAAATATAAATAATTTAATTTAAACAAAATCTAATTAAGAATTTAAATTAAATTTTTTAAAAATGTAACTTAAATATAAATTTGAATAGGAATGAAATTTAAATAAATAAAAATATAAAATTTTAAATTAAATATGAATAATTTAAATATATAATTTAAATAAAAATGTATATGTATTTATATGTAACATTTATATATTTCTAAATATGTATTTATAAGTAATGTATTTATATATATAATAAGCATACTTAATAAATTTACTTCAAATTTTAATTAAAAAGATGTTTAAGTTAAAGATTTTTTTAAAGATCTTTTAGCAAGCTAGTAAAGCTTTAGCGGCTTGAAATTGCATTAAGATTTTTGGGACAGCTTGTTTTTATTGCTGTCTTTTGTTTTCACATGGCCTAGATGTTCTCCCCCCCCATCCCTCCCTCTCCCTCTCCCAGAGAGCCATTCCTTGTAATAAAGAATTTTTTTTTTAAGAGAAAAAGAAAATCAGTAAATCCAGTGAACCCACTGAAAAACCTCTTGACATTTAATGCAGTGTCTACACCTGGGGAAGGAGGGGCTTTTCCTCTTGTCTTTTTCTTGGGGCCCACTTGTGCTTTGCACTTTAGCAGCCCCTGTTTGGCCTGCTTCACAGGTGTCGTCCTTTCCAGCGTCTGCAGCCTGTTTTTCTGACTCAGCTTCCATCACTTTGTCTCATTTTTGGAGATCTTCCTGGGCTTGTCTGTGTTTCTAATGGCCCAGGACACTGCCCCTTCACCTTCCTCGGGCTCTGAGGGATTTTAGGGGTACGTCTAGTCCTGCTCCTTACCACCATGGTTCATCCTCACAGCTCACATTTCACTAATTATGATATTCACTATTAGAGCACCAGGTTTGTGAAGCCTTTTCCTGTCCATAAACCAGTGATGAAGGTAAATGTGATTATTAGTGTCCACATGTGCCGTGAGAAGATTCCACGCTCGTAGCAGGGGAACTGACTTACCCATAAACTACACAGCTAGAAAGTGTAAGGACCAGGACTGGAACCCAGGCTTCTGACTCTGATAGCCCTGTTCTGCGGTATATATACAATTAGAGCTGGGACTGTTGACCCAGAGGTTTATGACCCTTTTTTTTCAATAGTATTTTATTTTTTCCCCCAATAGTATATAAGAATAGTTTTAACATTTAAAAACATTTTTGGAGTTTTCAGTTCACCGTCTCCTTCTTTTCCTTCCTGTTCCCTGATACAGTAAGCAATCTGATCTAAGTTATACATGTACACTCATGTAAAATGTATTTCCATATTAGGTATATGATCATTTGAAAAAAAACTATGGATCACAGTTGGTTTGGGGGTAACTTGATCTGGACTGGCCAAAGATCGGTAGAACTATTTGGCATTTTCAGGAGGCTGGGCTGGGTCTGGGGAGGTCAGGCCCACTAAGGAGTTATGGGTGGCCCAGATCTCTGGACCTTTCTGAAGTCCCTGAACTGGCTTCTTAGGCCCGTGGCCCAGGCTGCACTTCTAGGATTGGGCCGGGACCAGGCTAGCCTTTTAGGGTAGGAGAGGGGAAGGCAGTTCCTGTGTGTCTGACCCTTCTCAGGCTAACAGTCTGGTTTGCTTTCGCCCAGTACGTCAAAGGTCCCTGCACCTGCCTATGAGCGGTTCCACACCCTCGCCCAGGCCGGCCCCCCCGGGCCTCACGCTGCCCTACAAGTACAAGGTCTTGGCCGAGATGTTCCGCAGCATGGACACCATCGTGGGCATGCTCTTCAATCGCTCCGAGATGGTGACTTTTGCCAAGGTCAAACAGGGCGTCCAGGACATGATGCGCAAGTGAGTCTCGTCAGGGTGTTAGGAGGAGGGATCCTCGGGCTGGGGCCCAGCATCCACCCTGGTGCTCAGCCACCACCAAAATAATCTTCTGTTTTCCTTCTGCCTTCTCTCCCTTCTGGACCTAGAAGCTTCGCCTGGAGGAGCCACAGAGGCAGCCTTCATGTAATCATTACACACACACACACACACACACACACACACACACATACACACACACGAGAGAGAGAGAGAGAGAGAGAAGGGGGGGGTGCTCATTATCATTAATAGTGGCAGTGGCATCTAATAAAAAGGGAATGAACACTTATTAAGCACCTACTATGTGCCAGGCACACATTAAGTGCTTTGTAAATATCTCAGTTGTATCATTTCATAATTGCTAGCATTTCTATGGCGCTTTGAGGCTTGCAAAGGAATTTGTATGTGTTATCTCGTTTAATCCTCACAACCTCGTGAGGTAGGTACTGCTATTCCCATTTCACAGGTGAGGAAACTGAGGCAGACAGGTGAGTTGATTTGCCCAGGGTCACACAGCTAGGAAGAGCCTGCTCAGGCTCCTCTGACTCCAGGTCAGGGGACGTTTGGCTGTCTGTTTGCTCTGTTGTCCTGGCTGAGACCAGAGGTGTTTTGGTCCCATGGTTAACACCAAGGTGGGTTCTCTTCTGAAGCTCTTTTGGCACATAGGTGGGGGCTGGTTGCTGCCTAGAATGGCTCGGGGACTTGGTGATTCTCAGGTGCCAGGCCTCTCCCTCACCCCGTGCCCCGTGCTTGTCTTTGCCAGGAGGTTTGAGGAACGAAACGTGGGGCAGATCAAGACCGTCTACCCAGCGTCATACCGCTTCCGGCAGGAGCGGAACATCCCCACGTTTAACGACAGCGTGAAGCGATCGGACTATCAGCTCACCATCGAGCCTGTGCTGGAGCGAGGTGGGTGAGCCTCGGGGGGAGAACGAGAATGGTGGGGAGCCTGTGTCCTTGAAGCTCCAGAGCCGAGGCTTGACCCCAGGCCACCCCAGAAGCTGGTGCCTTGGGGCGAGCCGGCGTCCTGACTCTGTGCCCGTGCGTTTCCCCGGCACTGCCCTAGCCTCTTTGCAGCTGTTCACTCAGAAGTGAGCATTCCTGGATCAGGGCAGTGGGGACTTCCTCGATGTGGGTCATTGTGGCCTGTAGTGAGCAGGGGGTCTGACTGGGGCAGGAGCCAGTGTGGTTGGAGTGGTGGAGGGGGGTTGCGGCTTGGGGCTAAGGGGCTGCCAAGTGATGGGATGTGGCTTATCTTCCCAGAGGAGGGTGGCGAGGGGGCTGCCCAGCTGTCAGCCTCCTGCCTTCTGCAGCGCCGGCACACCTTCAGCAGGAACTTGGTGAACCTGGTCAAGGAACACCACAAGGTGAGCAGGGAGGGCGGGCAAGGACGGCTGAGGCCATCTTGCCCAACCTTGTTTGACGTGACACACGCGCAGAGAAGGGACACGCAGCTGCGAGCGGCCACACGGGGATTGGAACCAGGGTCTTTGGACTCTCAGACCTCTGGTGCAGACCCTTGGCCAGGACTCTCTCAGTGACTCTGTCTTTTCTGTCTAGAGGCCTTGTGGGGCCTGAGGATAACTTGGGTCACGACCCAAGGTGACGGACTTGGGGTCCTTAGAGACAGATGTGGTGCAAAGGGGATGGATGAATGAGGGCTACGGGTACCCAGGCTAGAGGTGTCCTGGGGGCAGAGATCTAGGAGAACAGTGTTTAACCCTCAGGTCATTGGCTTGGGGAGGGCGTGAAGCATAGAGTTAGAACCAGGATAGCTCTAGGACAGTGGTGTCGCCCAGATGGAAATGGGGGCCACTCATCCATACCCCAAATCCCTGGGGGCTAGCCACATAGTGACTGAGTTCTAACATGTAATGTTATCTGTGTCTTACTATGATTTATTTATCTTGTTAAATATTTCCTAGTTACATTTTAGTCTGGTTCTGGTCTAAGAGATTGCCTGTCTCTCTTCTCACCTTTTCCACCCTACCCTTTGTTTAGCAGAGAGCCAGCAAGCTTCTCTGAGACCTTTCCTTCTTTCTTTCCTTCCTTCCCTCCCTCCCTCTCTCTCTCTCTCTCTCTCTCTCCTTTCCTTCCTTCCCTCCCTCCCTTCCTTTCTCCCCCCTCCCTCCTTCCTTCCTTCCCTCTCTCCCTCCCTTCCTTCTCTTTCCTCCCTCCTTCCTTCCCTCCCTCCCTCCCTTCCTTTCTCCCCCCTCCCTCCTTCCTTCCTTCCCTCTCTCCCTCCCTTCCTTCTCTTTCCTCCCTCCTTCCTTCCCTCCCTCCCTTCCTTCTCTCTCTCCCTCCCTTTCTCCCCTCCCTTCCTCCTTCCTTCCTTCCTGTGTGCCAGGCAAAGAGACAAGGTCTCCAGAGGCATCTCCCACACAGGGGTTGAGCTAGGCCTGGCACCCAGCTCTGCTGCCTGGTAGGTCATTGTCCACAGTTCCAGGCTCCTCATGTTGACGTGGACCCCTAAGCAGAGAAGGGTCATCTGGCTCGCAGCCCTTCATCTGCCCCCTGCAGTATGGCAGTTCTCAGTTGTATTTCTCACCAGTGGGTCTGTGTTTGCGTTGAGCCACCCTCATTTTTTTCTTTTTTAACTTTTCACTGTGAGAATTTATTTTTACATGGCTTCTGCATTTCCCCCCATCGCTGTCCTCTTCATCTTCACAAAGAACAGCCATGGCATTATAGAGGATCCTTCCCACAATGCCCAGCGATGGGAAAGACTCTTCGTGTAATACGTTGCAATGGGATGGTGCCATTAAGACCAACAGATGTGAGGAAGGACAGGGGGAGAGACCTCGATGCAGTAAGGCCCAGGGAAAACAGAACCAGGAGAATGGAGGTCAGTCGAGGCAAGCCAGACCAAGGGGCTGTCCAGAGGCTGCACCTGTGACTGTGTGGTTGGAGGAATTGCCACTGATTCTGATGCCAAGCTTTGATCCAAAAGCAGGGGTGTAGAGGCAGCTAGGTGGTGCAGTGCATAGCGCACCAGCCCTGGAGACAGGAGGACCTGAGTTCAAATCTGGCTACAGACACTTGACAGTTATTAGTTTGTGTGACCCTGGGCAAGTCACTTAACCCCAATTGCCTTGCAACACCCCCCCCAAAAAAAGGTAGAGGTGTAATAAAAGTGAAGGGAACACAGAATGGGATTGTGGGGGCACCTGGGATTGAGGTGAGCAGATTTGGGGGAAGGCAGAGCCAGACTCTGTTCTGTGTGGCAGCAGCATTTCCCTTCCCACCAGATCCTCCCCATCCCCTGGCCGTATCACATCTGATTGCCATCGGCACGGCTCTCATTCAGGCCTTCTTGTCTGGTCCCGCTGACTCAGCATGATGTGTTTGCACGTGGCTGGTTAGAGGTCGTGCTTCAGTGTCTAGGAGTATCTGTCATTCCCCCTCCTCAGGCCCCTTGACTGATCTGTGGCTACCCAAGTGACTGGTTTGGAGGGGGTTTGGCCCCAGCATCAGGCTCCTGGGGGCCTGGCTGCTCTTGTCGGGCTGGGCGCTGGTCTCACTTCCTGTTCATTTCCTCCAAGGTTTTCCTCGCCTCCCTGAGCCCGCCGCTGGTGGTACCAGAAGACCAGCTAACCAGGTGGCACCCCAAATTTAACGTGGATGAGGTGCCGGACATCGTCCCTGCCGAGCTGCCGAAGCCGCCTCACACAGACAAGGTCACAACTGCGCAGGAGATGCTGGCCAGAGCTCGGACGATGCTGACGCCAAAGGTGAGGGTGTGGCCCTCTGGGGCTTGTCCCACGTGGGCCCAGGGGATGGAGAGAAGTGATGGCTGAAGTGGGGGGGTGTTAATCATCTTCCTAGTGGAATCAGATATATCCTAGGAATAATGTGTGTGTATCTCTGTCTGTTTTTACTTATGTACACAGATGGAAAAGGCCTTGGCCAATCTGGCTCTGAAAACAGCTGACAGCAGCAGCCCTGCCTCACCTGGTCTCAGCAGCCCCCCTAAATCAGGGTCACCTGGCTTCAGCAGCACCCCCAAACCAGGGTCACCCGGTCTTAGCAGCCCCCTGAAACTAGCTTCTCCATCCAGCTCCCCCAGTGCCCTGAAGGGCGTCTCCCAGGCGCTGCTGGAGCGGGTGAGTAGTAAACTGAGGGCGCGGGTGGTGAGGAGGAGGGGACCCGGGCATCATCCAGGCCCCACGTGCCTGACTGCTTGCCTCCTTCCCTCCCCTCCAAAGATCCGCGCCAAGGAAACTCAAAAACTGCAGGCAATGATGACCCGCAGACCTCAGCAGGAGGAACGGCTGCTGGTGCTGTCCAGGCTGCCCGAGCTGGCGCGCATCCTTCGGAGCGTCTTTGTGGCCGAGAAGAAGCCAGCGCTGACCATGGAGATGACCTGTGCCAGGATGGTCAGCAGCTACCGCTCATCCATGCCGCCTGGTACGTGGGTCACCCTCGATGGAGGCCGCCAGGGGGTGGGGAGGTTGCTGTGGGGCTTTCTAAAAACGGGGTCAGATCCCATTTTGTGCAGCAGGCCCTTCTCCGGCCCGGCTGTGCTTAATAAAAGTTTGAGCAGGTAGGGGGCGCCATAGTGCATAGAGTGCCCGGTCTGGAGTCAGGAAGATGCATCTCTTTGAATTCTAATCTGGCCTCAGAAACTTCCTAGCTGTGTGACCCTGGGCAAGTCACTGAACCCCGTTTGCCTCAGTTTCCTCATCTGTCAAGTGAACTGGAGAAGGAAATGTCAAACCACTCCAATATCTTTGCCAAGAAAACCCTGCATGGGTACATGGAGTCAGACACCCCTGGACAACCAAAAGTAAATACTGATTGACCACCCGATGGAGGCCCTAACCTCTTCCCGTGTGTGTAATTTACTCCTTACTTGGGAGCAGTTCTGCACCTAGTAGGAATTTGGAATCATGGGGCAGAGGTCTGATTGGCCATACTTGGGGGAAAAAAGTCTTTTCCCCATGGACCTGGCTTTAAAAGGCTAGTTAGTGTTCTTTTCCTTGGTGGTGTTTACTTAGAGGCCTGGTGGTTTTCTTCACACCAGACTGGCTTCAGGGGAAGTTGTCTCTGTCCTGGGGGCTGGGAAACGAGGGGACTCGTGAGTCATCTGCTGCTAGGCCTTGCCTCTGGCAGGGGCTGGGGACTCATGCTGTGTGCCTCCTGTCCTCAGGGGAGATGGAGAAGCACCTGCAGGTCCTCGCAGAGCTGCTTCCCGACTGGCTCAGTCTCCACCACATCAGGACGGACACCTACCTGAGGCTGGACAAGTCTGTGGACCTGGGTCACATTTCAGAGAGACTTGTTAGGATTACCCAAGAGGAGGAGAAGCTGTAATGCAGGCCCTTCCTGGAAGACTGGGCTGGACTCTGAGCACTGTTTAAATAACTGAAGGCTGTGGGTAAAGGGTGTAAGGGGCCTGTGTGTCTGCGTGTGTGTAAGGAGATGGAATGATGACGCTTTTAAAAACACTAAATCCCAAAGTGTGACCTTTCTACGTTTTATCCCCCACTGGAAAATAAAGATTCCTTGTAGATGCAGGATGTGTGATCAGACATCTTGCCCTAATCTCTGCAGCCCCTAGAGGCCCTGACTGTCCTCACTGCCTCCCCCCTGGGCTTGGGACAAGTGGCCAAAGGTCTGATTTATACCCGGCTTGCTGTGTGGCTGGGCTTTTGGCCTCCCTCGTAACCCACTGCTGGAGTACCTGTATACCACCACTCAGCAAGTGGCCAGTCGCAAAAACCCAGGTGTCTGCTTTGCTGGGTGGTGTTGAACTTTTATTTCTGTTTGTTGAATGCTAAGTCTCTTGGTGGAGCGTCTCTGAGCGGCTGTGTTCTACCTGGTGTCAGCTTGGGCCTGAAGAAAGACAGCTGCCTGGCATTTATTAGTAAATGATTTAATCACTGGATACAGCTAGCCTCACAGCAGAGACAAGGCTGCCCCGCAGACATTCTGGTCTTAATTCCAGTTACAGGGCTCCCGTTCTGTCACCTCTCTAAAGGAGGCCTGGCCAGTTCTTTCCTTTGTACAGTGGTCCTTCAGGGCCCTAGGTGCTTTGTCCCTTAGCCAGTCAGGGAGTCTTAGGCCGTGACATGAGGGATTGTACGTTGTATATGCACAGTAAAAACGAATAAAAACATGTAAAGAGATCCAGAGTTAAGCCTTGAGTGGTCTCACTGATCTGCCTAGGCCCCCTGGGGGCCGATATGGCACCAAGTGGGATGAATTCCACCTGCTGGGGTTGTGGACAAGCGGAGCAGAAGCTGAGATCTGGAAAGTAAGTACGGCTTTTACTGTATTACAGTCGGAGATGATGCCCCACAGCCCATGCCCCCACCATACTCCATCTGGGTCAAGAACTCTCCTCTAGAGATATCACTCAACCTGGGGCAGAGAGGTTGAGGTTACACGACCAGTACAGGTCAGAGGCCTGCTACCTGTCAAGTACACTTGAGTTGGTTGGCCAGGAAACTAACCCACTCAACTGTATGCCAGATTCTAAACCACAAAGGCAACTTTCCATTCGCACCAACTTAAGGGAGAAGAGTATCCTTGGCTGTGGAAGCAGGTGAGGCACTGCCCAGGTGTGCCCTCTAGAAAGCAGAGCCCTTCTCTGGGAGCTGATCTGTACCCTCCAAGCAGGGAGGTGGGGGGAGTCAGGAGTGACAAGTGGCACACAGCTGGTGGTGGGGCACAAAGGGGCCAAAATGGCACCTGCTGCCCTCCTCAGGTGAGGGGGGTGAGTGGCCACGTGTAGGACAGATGGGAGAACGGCAGGCCCTCTGGAGCTCTCTGCTCGTCTGAAGAGGAGGTGCCCCCAAGATGATGAGCTGGTTCGCATTTCCATCTGCAGAGCTGTCCAGGGGGAGGCACTTGGCAACCCGGGTCCAAGTCCAGATCTCCCGACTGTGAATGAAAACCTGTCTGTGGCCTCAGCTGGTGGGGAAGGTGCTGACGGCAGCCTGGCCTCAGTCATAGTGCAGCAGGGAGAAGAAGGGCACAGGAGCCAGCTTCTCCCTCCCCTTCAGGGACATCAGCTCCACCACGGCCAGGCCCTCCAGCACCTCGGCCTTCAGACTCTGCAGCAGCTTGCAGGCTGCCCCCATGGTACCTGCGGGCAACAACCCGGTCAGGACGCTCTGGGGGCTGCGGCGGGTGCCCCAAGGACGGCAGGGCCCCCACTACCTGTCCTATCTCATCAGAGACCCTCCCCCAAACCCTGCACCTAGGGAACTCCCAGGGAGGAAGCTCCTTCCACTTAGTCTTAGAGGCGCCTCAAGCAGGGCTCAAACCCAAACAGAAACAGGGCCCACTGGACCATACGCAGAAGGATGCCTGCAGCCACATATTGGCATTTTTTTTTTTTTTGCTTTTTGGTGAGGCAATCAGCATTAAGTGACTTGCCCAGGGTGTTAAGTGTCTGAGGCTGGATTTGAACTCAGGTCCTTCTGAGTCCAAGGCCAGAGCTCTATTCAGTGTGCCACCTAGCCGCTCCCTGGCTTAGTTTTAAAATGCAATATTTTCTGTCTTATTGCATTCGGTTTTTGGTAAATATTTCCCAAGGACATTTTAATCTGGTTCTAGCTGTGTCTGATACGCACTTCTGGCTGATACATTTAGGGTCACACAGAGAGAAGGCTGTGTTGGGCAGGACTGGAACCTAGATCTTTCTGGATTCTTTCCTCATTAAGATGTGAGCTCCTTCAGGCAGGGAATGTCTCTGCCTTTCTCTGTATCCCTGTGCTTAGCACAGAGCGAGCACATGACAAAATATTATTCACTGACTGACTGTCCAATACGCCTCATGTTTTACAGAGGAGGGCACTGAGGCTCAGTGAGGCGGGCTGGTGTGCCCAGCCCCACAGACAGTCGGTATCCTGGGCAAAGGTCATCCCCTGGTGCCCAGGTGTCGGCTGGGCGTGGCACCTGCGAGCAGCCTGTCTGACGCTGGGCCCTGAGGGAAAGGCAGGGGTGCCTGAGGAGCCCTCCCTGCACTAGGCATCACGGGGGTGAGGAAGACTTAGGGCCTGGTGTTCCCAGGGAAAGGCCGGGGTCGATGCCTGAGGCTCACCATGGGTGGCCCGGTTTGGCTTGGCCACAGACAGAACCAGAGTGATGCCAGGAGGGGCATCGAGTCGACCCTGCCTTCAGGCGGAGAGACTGGAGGGCGCTGGGCAGGGGTGTCATTTACTTGGATCGACAACTTCTGGAGAGTGAAGCTGGCTTCTAAGGGCTTTTGGGAGGGTAAGCTCCACAACACTCTCCTGATAGGGAGATCCTGCTGGATCTCCCCCATGCGTCCTGCCTGCATCCTGCCTGCACATGGCCATCTGCATGCTGTCTCAGACCCCCGTCAGACTGGGTGCTCTTTCTGCCCATTTTCTTATTTCCACCACTTAGCACCGTGCCTGGCACATAGGAGGCATCTTATAAATGCCTGCTGACATACAGCAGCTAGTAAGCTGAGCCTTCTGGGCCGACTGAGGGGACCATGATCCCCTTTCATCCCTTGCTCGATATGGGCAGCTTGCTGGCGAAATAGAGCAAGTGCTGGGCCTGGAGTTAGGAAGACCCAAGTTCAAATCCAGCCTCACTGGCTGTGTGACCCTGGGCAGGTCATTTAGTTTCTCTCAGCCTCAGTTTCCTCACCTGTAAAATGGAGCTATTCGTGCTCCTCCCTCAGAGGGTTGTTATGAAGCTTGAAAGATCGCCCATGTAAGGTGCCATACCAACGTCACTCGTCCAGGGCTAACTGCAGCTGCCTGGTCCGAAGGCCCACCCTCACTACCGTCCAGACCCCATTACCTCCGGTGGCCATCAGGTCGTCCACGATCACCACCGTCTGGCCGGGCTCTAGGGCATCTTCCTGGATCTCCAGCTGTGCCTGAAGAACGAAACCTCGGGTCACTGGATGCACAACAAAGCCCACCTGAGAGGCGACTAAGGCGAGTTCGAAGAACCCGTCCAGGCCATCCAGATTACAGGCAGCCACCTGGATGGAGTCAGGAAGACTGGGGTTCAAATCCCACCCCAGACCCTCCCTGGCTGCGTGACCCTGGTCAAGTCACGGCACCTGTCGGCCTCAGTTTCCTCATCTGTAAAATGGGAAAATAACAGCACCTCCCCTTCAGGGTTGTTGTAAAGGTAAAATAAGATACGTAAAGCATTATGTAAATGTCAGTTTTTATCATCAGATTTTTTCTCATGATCCCACAGCTCTCAGCAGCCACTGTCTGTAGGTGAAAACGTTTTAGAACCATTTGGGGACCTCCCTGCCACACTGGGCCTTTCCCTGCCCATTCTGGGCCCGCGTCTGAACAGCAGAAATGAAGAGCACCAAGTAAAAGCAAGATGAGAGGCCATCAGAGCTAACACCGAGCTGGTAAAATGGGCACAGAGCCCCCCCCCACCTGGCAGCAGGACCCAGCCCTCCCCTGCCACCTCTCCAGGAGGTATGTGAGGTGAGCTCATGGCAAAGGGAGGGTCATCTGGTGGGTGCTGCTGGCATTCTTCTGTTTTCAACTAAAAATGCCTTTGGCTTTTCCATGACATTCACTTCCAAACGTTTCTGAACTTTTTTAATCTCTTCACTCCCAGACCCCCCAGAGCCTGCTCCACTTGACTTAACTCTTTCACTGCTGGACACTAGGCAGGGTCTCTCCCCACTGGTGGCTGTCCTTAGTCACTCACTCCATCCAGGGCCGTACTTTACTGCAGGTCCCTACAGTCTAATCACTGCCCAGAATACCCCACCTCCCACCAGCCATGTCGCCAGTCCTTGAACCATGATCAAAGTGGCTGTCACTGCTCCTGGAAAGGAACTGTGACTCGGTTTCCCTAGGCTTCCAGTTCTCCTCCCTCAGATTTCTAAACCCAAATATCTCCCTATGAGAATGAGCCCATGCACCTCCCTCCCCATCTCCTACCCGGTGAACCTCGTATGTCCCATCAAGACCACTGACCACGTCTGACAACATCTGCACCTTTCCCTGCCCCTGGTTCCCCACGTCTGCAGAACATTTTCTCATCTCCTCTAGGACCAAGGTTGGCCATGATAATTACACACATGCAGATCTGTTTTGCTCTTCTTCTCATTCACACTGTTAGGATCATTGTGAATGGTTCTTTGGGATCAGCTGTGAAGGAGAGTTCCCATCCAGGGATGTGGCAGCCTTCAGAAAGCTCCACTGGATCTGACAGCAATGGGATTAGGACCAAAAATGTACTGTATTGGGTCCTGGTTCCAACACTAACTTAGCTGGGTGACCAAGGACACAGAGACCTGGGCCTTAGCCTCCTGTCTCTAAAACAAGGGCCTTGGGCTAGATGTGATTATGCTTTTTTCATGATTTTTGCCTGTGGGCTAACCACCAATTAAAATCCATTTAAAATGAAAGCTGATCAGTTTTGTTATCCTTAAAATCAGAGGGCTGAGGGGCAGCTAGGTAGTGCAGTGGATAGAGCACCGGCCCTGAAGTCAGGAGGACCTGAGTTCAAATCCAAATACTTGACACTTACTAGCTGTGTGACCCTGGGCAAGTCACTTAACCCTAATTGTCTAAAAAAAAAAATCGGAGAGTTGGGCTAGGTGACCCCCAGAAGCCCTCACAGCTGTGGACCAGCCATCCTTTGGTTTCAAATGGCAGACTGGACCTACAAATGACCCCAACCTGCATCCCACTTGACCTTTAAGGTACATCAAGTTTGGTTAAAACCAGTTCACTCTTCTCAAAGATTTTGTGGCACAGAGACCTTTTTTTTGTTATAATTAACTCCAACAAGCCAATGAGGAATCTGGGGGCCTCCAGACTTTGTCACCAGGCTCCCTCTGCCCCTTCTCCCTTGGCCAGCTCCTCTTGAAGCTAAGAGCACAGACCAGCCATGCCTCACTGTGACCTTCTCCCCCATCTTTCATACCAACCTTCTCTCTCCTCATCTTCCTGTTAGAGTGTAAGTTCCCTGGGGGCAGGGACTATCCTTTTTGCTTGCAGGGGTATCCCCAGTGCTTGGCACACGGTAAGTGCCCAGTAAGTGCTCTTTGACTTGACGTGGAAGGCCAGTCTGATGAGCTGAAAGGAAGCCCGCGGACGAGCTGAAAGGAAGCTCATGGATGAGCTGTGCCAGAAACTCCTACAGAAAGGCAACACTGAGCTGCCTGATGCTTAGAGAGGAAGAGGTAAGGATTTAGAGCTGACCCCTGCAGGTCATCTTGCCCAACCCCCTCACTTCACTCGAGGAAGCCGAGGCCCAGATGAGGAAAGCGACCTGCCTAAGGTGGCCGAGTTGGGATTGAAGACCAAGCTTTCTGACTTTGAATCCGGAATTCTTTCCAACACATCACACTGCTAATGTATCAACTGTATCCTGCTGGTCCAGAAGGTGTTGTCCTACCCCCCCCCCCCCAGCACTAACTCACCTGGCCATATTCCAGGGAGTAACTGGAGGACACTGTGGGCCCTGGAAGCTTCCCTTGCTTTCGAATGAGCACAAACCCTATCCCGAGCTTCTGGGCCAGAGAGGGACCAAACAGGAAACCTCGAGCATCCAAACCTGGGGGAGGAAAATCAGGCATGTTTAACACTGGGGAAAAAAGGCAGAGAGTGGGATGGGGACAAGGGAGGAGGGCCACGGGCCTCGAAACTAGAGGCCAAAAAAAGGTTTCCTCACCTGTGGTGCCCCCATCACTGTACCTCTGGGAGACCCAAGGACAGAAATTCAATAGTCTTTGTTCACAAGGATTCAGAATGTTCTGGGGGAGGGCACCATCCATGCAGGAGTAGATACAGAATATATAAGACAGTCATAAAGGCAGGTAATCGGGGCCGGGGGAGGGCAGCAGGGATCAGGCAAAACCAGTTCAGTACTGGAGTTCAGTACTTTGTCCATGCCTTTTCTTACAAATCTCTGAAGTCTTCAGATTCCCGTCCCAGTCAGTTTCTGAATGGTTGGACTAGTTCACACCTCCCCCAGCAGTGTGTACCTACCACCTTCCTCTTTGATTGTTCCTTCCCATTATCCTCCACCATCCACCATCTTTAATCATTCCCACTGACTTTCCACCATCTTTGAAGGCTCCCACCGATTGTCCACCACGCACCATCTTTGATGGCTCCCACCGATTGTCCACCACGCACCATCTTTGATGGCTCCCACCGACTGTCCACCACGCACCATCTTTGATGGCTCCCACCGACTGTCCACCATCCACCATCTTTGAAGGCTCCCACCGACTGTCCACCATCCACCATCTTTGATGGCTCCCACCGACTGTCCACCACGCACCATCTTTGATGGCTCCCACCGACTGTCCACCACGCACCATCTTTGTTGGCTCCCACCGATTGTCTACCACGCACCATCTTTGAAGGCTCTCACCGATTGTCCACCATGCACCGTCTTTGAAGGCTCTCACCGATTGTCCACCATGTACCGTCTTTGATGGCTCCCACCGATTGTCCACCATCCACCATCTTTGATGGCTCCCACCGATTGTCCACCACGCACCATCTTTGTTGGCTCCCACCGATTGTCCACCACGCACCATCTTTGAAGGCTCTCACCGATTGTCCACCATGCACCGTCTTTGATGGCTCCCACCGATTGTCCACCATCCACCGTCTTTGAAGGCTCTCACCGATTGTCCACCATGCACCGTCTTTGATGGCTCCCACCGATTGTCCACCATCCACCATCTTTGAAGGCTCTCACCGATTGTCCACCATCCACCGTCTTTGATGGCAGAGAGTGGGATGGGGACACTGAGTGTCCACCATCCATCATCTTTGAAGGCTCTCACCGATTGTCCACCATGCACCATCTTTGATGGCTCCAACTGATTGTCCACCATGCACCATCTTTGATGGTTCCCATTGATTGTCCACCATCCACCATCTTTGAAGGCTCTCACCAATTGTCCACTGTCACAATTGGATGAGTGTTCAGTGGAACTCGGGTTTGTATTTTTTCCTTATTGGTGATTTGGGACATTTTATCATAAACTCATTGGTAACTTGAAACTTTTTAAAAAGTATTTATTCACATCCTTTGACTACTAACTATTTAGGAAACAGCTCCTGACCTCGTTATTGGTTTGTGTCAGTGCTGTCTGCTGGACATCTCCATGGGATGTCCTGGAGGCGTTCCAAACTCAGCATGTCTGAAACAGAATGTCCCCTCCTTGCCCACAAACCCTTTCCTATTTCTGCTGAAATCCTTCCAGTCATCCAGGTTGCAGAGTAATCCTCAGTTCACTCTTCCCCCCACTGCCCCATCTCACTGGTGGCCAGGTCTTAATGCTTCTTTCTCCACAATATCTCTCCTGTCCAGCTCCCCTTGCTCAAGGCCATTTTGAGCGGGCCTCCCTGCTCTCCCTCCTTTGTGCCTTTGCACCGGCTGTCTCCCGTGCCTGGAGTCCCCTCTTCTCACTGTTGCCTCTCAGGATCCCTGGCTTCCTTCAGAGTAGAGTTTGAGATCTGCCTCCCACACAGAAGCCTGATCCCTGCTGCCCTCCCCCGGCCCCGATTACCTGCCTTTATGACTGTCTTATATATTCTGTATCTACTCCTGCATGGATGGTGCCCTCCCCCAGAATGTTCTGAATCCTTGTGAACAAAGACTATTGAATTTCTGTCCTTGGGTCTCCCAGAGATACAGTGATGGGGGCACCACAGGTGAGGAAACCTTTTTTTGGCCTCTAGTTTCAAGGCCCATGTCCCTCTTCCCTTGTCCCCATCCCACTCTCTGCACCTGTGTGATTTCAGGCAGGTCATTCTGTGAACTCTCTGCACCTCAATTTCCTCATTTGTGTGTGCAACTGAAATTAAGTGACTTGCCAAGTCACACAGCTAGTAGTGTTCTGTATTTGAGGCCAGATTTGAACTCAGGTCTTCCTGACTCCAGGGCCGGTGCTCTATCCACCGTGCCATCTAGCTGCCCTGGTTTCCTCATCTGTCACACGAGGAGGCTAGATTAAGGTCCCGATCCCATGATCCCACGAGGCAGAATATGGACAAGGATCATAAGAATGCAAATGAAAGGAATGGGACCTTGTTAAAACGTAAGGATTGTTTGGAAAAATCCAAAGTAAGGCAAGCTTCCCAGATGATCATTTGTACTGAAGCGTGTGCGTGTTTATGATCATGTACATAATAAAAATGAAATGTAATTAAAGATGGCAGAAGGAAGCCAAACTTTGTGTAATCATCATAATCTTGGTCTCGGGGAACAGAGAATGAAACATGCCTGCCTCTTGCCAGAGGAAGGGATTATGGGGCAGAATGTTCCATGCACTGTCCCACATAACTGCTGTTTTTCCTTTGTCACAAGAGAGGGTTCAAGGGAGGCTTTGGCCCCTCCTGTCTGGAAACAATTTGTGAGGCAAATACAAAAGGAATCAAGAAAACTGGTTTTTAACAATGTAAATGTATTCACATGACTCTTGGTTGGCTGATCTAAGAACTGTCAAAGCCCTTCTCGTGTTTGGGACATTAAGCATCCACTCCATGCCAGGCACTGTTTGTTTTTCCCTGTGACCCGGGGGATCAGACTTCCCTTAGCATAGTAGCAGGAAATAGTTGTTATTGGTTCTCTGACCTAAATGACACCAGGAGGGTGACGTCCTGACTTAAGCTAGGCAGGGCTGTGCAGAATCACCAGCCTCACTTCATCCTCCGCAGCCATCTGGGTCCGGCGGCCAGATATGGATCAGGACGACTGGAGATGGCCCAGGCCTCAGTGGGGAACCTTGGCCTTTTCAAACTAAGATCTTTCCCAGGTCTCAGTTTGACTGAGGCAAGGGCCATTCAGTGATTAAAGGCTAGGTAGGAAATGCAAAAAGAATGGCCTCTTTTACCTAGTCAAAAAAAATCAATCTGGGAGAGGAAGAGCCTCAGGGTGTCTGGCCAGAAGGGAAACAACTGCTATTTATATTCACTCCGAGCCATCACAGCCCAAACAGTGACCCAGTGAGGTTTGGGTAGGCCAATAAATAAATACATATTGACTGACTGCAAAGACATTTCTTAGTCCCAATTTTCAGGAGGTACCCTGCTTTAGGCCTTCTCCAGCCTACGCCATACAACCTCCCCCCACCCCACTCCTCCTGGGGAAATCTCCTGCTGCCAGAATGAATGGCCTGGTTCTAAATCTCCTCAGCAGCCTCTGCCCCCCTGGCTGAGGGAGGTCCAGGGGTTCCAGAGCCTCTATTTTAAGGAGGAGGCGGCACGGTCTTCTCCCCATTTCCCACCAGCTAAGCCCCATTACCTTCTCCCCTCACGTCCCCCATCGGGTGGTAGGATCCTTGAGGACAGGGACAGCCACTGTTTTTATTTGTATCTCAAGCCCAGCCAGACTGAAGTAGGCATGCAGGTAGATAGGTCCACCCCTCCCACCCTTCACTCACCAGCAATATAATCAATCTTCGTCTTGTGATTTTCTTTTAAGTGATCGGCCAAAAGTTCAATAGAAGCCCTGAAGGCATCTGGGTCCTTTAGCAAAGGAGTGATGTCCCTAAGATAGAAAGAACGGGGATTGGTAACTGCATGCCCATGACATTGAGGCACAACACCCAGCCAGCCCAGACAAAGGGGCCTCCCAGGCCAGCCCCCTAGCAGAGACTTGGAAGGACACGCAGGAAGAATGCCCCCTGGCCTCTGGAGAGCCCTGGCAAAGCAGGCCACCATCGACTCCTCCCAAGCGCCCCCCCCCCCCCCCCCCCCCCCCCGTTAGCAGGTGGACATCATGATTCCATTTTACTGTTGGGGAGCCTTTGCTCAAGGTCACAGGCTACAGCACCAGGCCTAAACCTGCTTACCACTAACACAGGTGTTTCTAGCACTCCATGGGTGGGCTTTGGATGCCATCTGTGACCCACTTTGTAGATTCATCTAACAAGGGTAAAGACTTAAAGGAGTAGTTATTGTCTCCTTGGGGGTGGGGGACACAAAGGCAAGTCAAAGTGTCCCCGCCCTCTGGAAACTGCAGTCTCGAAGGGATGACTAGGACAGGTACAACGACGCAGCTATTTAACTGGTGGTGATTCTGAGGTCTCCCCACCATGTTCCTCTAAGACAAGAGGGCTGCCAGGGGCACCAGTGGGGCGGTGTCCTCCATCTATGGGGGAGGCACCATGCCGCTGAACAATTCTGCACAAACAAGCCAGAGACATGATAACAGAGGGAATCCACAGTGGGAAGGCCTGGCATTAAGGGGGATCAGGCAAGGCTTCCTGGAGAAGGTGGGATCTTAGCTGGAGAAAGACAGATCTAGGCGGTTGTAAGCTATTGACACAACTAACTAAAAAGAGATTCCCAACGGTGGGGCGCTCATTTTCCTTAACTATCAAAGGACAAGGTTGGCTAGGTCCCTTCTGCCCCCAAACCTAGCATGCTGTAATTTACACCTGGGGGAAGGGAGGTGGGGCAGGGGTCAGGAGGCAGGCTAATACTGGACACTCACTCAGTGAGGGCTCCGCCCAAGTTAAGGTCGGGGGAACCTTCGAAGGGTAAAGGGCACTCCGGTACAAGAGAGGACCCCAGTCTGGGGAAATGTGAGTAAGCTGCTAGGCAGGAGCGCAGAAAGGGAGGGGACTGGGGGCGGGGCCACTCCACTGGGGTCATCTGCACCAAAGGATGGGGGCTGGGGGCGGGCCAGAGGACCTCGGGGGCCACTTCATTAGGGTCACCTGCACCCGCAGGCTAGCTCACTCGCACGTACGCACGCAGAGTCTGCGGGCTCCACCCCTGGTCCAGCCCTCTCAGCCTATAGGGTGGGTGAGGGGAGGGCCAGGGGGCGAGGTGACCGCGGCCACTCAGGAAGCGAGCAGCAGCACGGTGAGCGGAGCGGAGCACACCAGGAGCCTCCGCGGGGGGCACTGTCAAGGACCCCTCACCCACCCACCCCGGCTCCAACAGACCCACTTGGGGATTACGCAGGGACGCTGGGCTGCGGCTCTCCAGTCGGGGAGGGGGGGACACACCTGGGTTCTAATTCCACTCTGCTGGTTAATGTTTATGTGCCCGTAGGCACGTGGCCACCCCTCTCTGGACCTCAGTTTCCCCCTCTGCAAACTTAAATCTGTGAAATCATTCCAGGAAGTAGAGGGCTGGGGGGCTTCTGGGAGGCGAGGTCCCAGGTTCGAATCCCCACGGCGCAGCACCGAGCAGATCACTGGCGGCGATGCCTTCACCCAGCCCGGACCCTCCAACCCCGCTGCCCTCGCCCCCAGCCCCCAGCCCTAGCCCTCACCGGAATAGGATGCCGGGCTTGGGGAAGTCGGGGAAGCTCCGGACCCGCCGGGCCACGAGCTGCAACTGGGACTCTGCCATGCCGGCTCCTCGTTGACTGCGCAGGCGCGGGAAAGGGCCGGGGAGAGGGAAGGAGGCCCCGCCCCCTTCCCCAGCCGAGGCCGAGGCTGCTTTCGAACGTTCGCTCTTTGGCGGCTAGGTGGCGCTGTGGTCTACCGCCGCAATGGGACTGCCCCTGGGACGGGCGCTTCCCTCTCCCAGCCCCGGGGCTCCCCATCTGTAAAATGGGACAATAACGATAACAATATCAACGAAGAAAAACGTTATAGCTAGCATTACATAACGCCCACTGTTTGTCCGGAGCTTTAATAACAGCACCTACTATGTTCCAGGCACTATAATAATAACTAGCATTTATATAGCACCTCCTGTGTGATGGGAACCATAGTGATAATCTTATGTTATATATAATAACATAATATTATACTATGTGCCAGGTGCTTTCATAATATACATCACAATGACAGCTAATATTTACATAGCACCTACTGTGTGACAGGAACGATAAGAATTATATTATCTAGCATTTACATAGCACCTACTATGTTCAGGAGCTTGAATAATAATAACAGCTAGCCTTTAAAAGCACCTACTTTGTGACAGGCACTTTAATAACAATAGCTAGCATTTATATTGCACCTGTTCTGTACCAAGCGCTTCAATAATAATGATGATGCTAATAACAGCTAACATTTACGTGCTATGTGTCAAGCACTGAACTACGCATTTGTTGAAATTATCATTTCACTTGATCCTCACAACAACCCTGTGAAGTAGGTACTAGTATTCTGTCTTATAGCTGAGGAAACTCAGGAAGTGACTTACCCAGGGTCACTCAGCTAGATAAGTGTCTGAGGCCCCTAGCCAAGTTGTTTGCTAACACATTTTGGAAAACCTTAATGAGCCATGTAAACGCTAGCCATGATGACGACAGGAGATGTGCAGTAAAGGCTTGATGGAATGGATTGCTGGATCTGGTCTCAATGCCTTTGCTTTACAGATGAGGAAACTGAGGCCCCCTTGCTCGAGGGCACACACACACACAGTCGATAAGCAGAAGAGCCAGGCTGAATTCCCACGTTCTTTCTGTACTGACTCTGTTTGTTCAGCAAGGACAAAGCTTCAACATGAAAGTTTCGGGGCACCTCCCATGTTCTTGGCCCTTTTGGGGGAGATAAAGGTGACTGTTAAATGATCCTTGCGCTCCTAAGGGAGTAGGGAGGATTAAGATATGTAGGGAAAGAGCTTTGTCTTCCTTGTACAGGGAGCTCAGATCCCCCTGGCTACAGGTACCAGGGAAAGCTTCTTAGAGGAAGGGGCACTTGAAGGCTGGCACAGATGAGGCTAGCAGCATTCCAGGTGTAGACTCTGTCTGGAGCATAGAGTACACAGAAGGAGGTAAGGCTAGGTTTAGGAATGTGGCCCTGCAGCCTCGAGGCTACATGTGGCCTTCTAGGACCTTGGGGCAGCCTTTTGATAGAGTCCAAGTTTGACAGAACAAATCCTTTTATTAAAGGGACTTGTTCTGTGAAGTTTGGATTTAGTCAAAGGGCCACACTTGAGGGCCTAGAGGGCCACACATGGCCTCAAGGCTGCAGGTTCCCCACCCCTGAACCCTTGGAGAGGATTCTTTCTGCTCCGCGTTGGCAACCCTATTTTCATTGACTCAAACATTTATTAATCACCTACTATGTTACTATCTGTGTGACCTTGGGCAAATCACTGAATCTTCCCTGGCACCCATTTCCTCAACTATAAAATGGGGGGCAGGAGAAACGGGCCAGATGGCCGCTGAGGTCCCTCCCAACCCAAAATCTGGGGTGTTGTGCTGCCATAGGTGCTGTCAAAAATCAAATGATCCCAGCCTTCAAGGAGCTGACATTCTAATTTAGGCGTGAGGGAGGTGTGAGGGAGAAATCCAGCATGTGCATAGAGAATTATATTCAAAGTAATTGTTGGAAAAGGAGGCTACTAAGAACTGGGAAGGACTGGAGGGATGTGGGCTGAATCTTGAAGGAAGCTGGACTCTAAGAGGTAGAGTTATGGGGAGACAGGAAGGGATTGCCTGCCCAAAGACATGAAGACAGATGGCATGTCCAGGTTAGCCAGAGGCCAGCTTACCTGGAACAGAAGAGTTCATAAAGGGAAATAATGAGAGCTAAACTGTAGAGGGCCTTAAAAGACGGGTTGAGGGGTTCCCTCTGAAATCCCTGTTCTATTTTTCAATAGTTTTTTATTTTTCCCTCCCAATTACATGTGAAGACAATTTTTAGAATTTGAGTTCCAAACTTTTCTCCCTCTCTCCTCTCCCCTCTTTCTAAAATGGTAGGCAATTTGATACAGGTTATACATGTGCTATCGTGTAAAAAACATATTTCCATATTAGTCACAGTTGTGAAAGAAAAAACAGATCAAAAGGGGGAAAAACACAAAAAAGAATAAAGTAAGTGAAAAATATGCTTCACCCGCATTCAGAATCCATCAGTTCTTTATCTGGTTGTGGACGGCGTTTTCCTCCGTGAGTTCTTTGTTCTTGTCTTGGACTGTTGTGTTGCTGAGAAGGGCTGATCATCACACCATGTTGCTGACACTGTGTATACTGTTTCCCTGGTTCTGCTCATTTCACTTTGCATCAGTTCGTACAAGTCTTTCCAGGCTTTTCTGATTTTCTTATAGCACAATAGTATTCCATTATATTCATGTACTACAGCTTGTTCAGCCATTCCCCAATTGATGGGCATCCCCTTAATTTCCAATATTTTGCCACCACAAAAAGGGCTGCTATAAATATTTTTGCACATGTAGGTCCTTGCCCCTTTTTTATGATCTCTTTGGGATACAGACCTAGAAGTGGTATTGCTGGGTCAAAGGATATGCCCAGTTTGGTTGCCCTTTGGGCATAGTTCCAAATTGCTCTTCAGAATGGTTGGATCAGTTCACAACTCCACCAACAATGCATTAGTGTCCCAATTTTCCTGCATCCTTTCCAATATTTATTATTTTTTTTTGTCATATTAGCCAATTGGATAGGTGTGAGGTGGTACCTCAGAGTTGTTTTAATTGGCATTTCCCTAATAAAAAATTATTTAGAGCACTTCTTCACATGCCTATAGATAGTTTTGACTTCTTCATCTGAAAACTGTTCATATCTGACCATCTGTCAATTGGGGAATGGCTTGTATTCTTATAAATTTGACTCAGTTCTCTATACATTTGAGAAATGAGGTCTTTATCAGAGACACTTGATATAAAAATTGCTTCCCAGATTTCTGCTTTCCTTCTAATTTTGGTTGCATTGCTTTTGTTTGTATGAAAGCTTTTGTAAAATATAATCAAAATTATTTATTTCACATCTCGTAATTCTCTCTATCTACTGTTTGGTCATGAATTCATTCCTTCCCCATAGATCTGACAAGTAGACTATTCCTTGCTCTTCTAATTTGCTTATGGTGTCACCCTTTATGTCTAAATAATGTACCCATTTTGACCTTTTGTTGACATACGGTTGTGAGATATTGGTCTATACCTGGTTTGCGTCCTCTTGTTTTCCAGTTTTCCTGGCACTTTTTGGCAAATAGTGGGTTCTTATTGTACCATAGGTAGGGTCTTTCAGCTTATCAAACACTAAGTTACTATAGTCATTGACCACTGTGTCTCATGTACCTAATCTATTCCACTGATTCACCACTCTTTCTTGGCCAATACTAGAGAGTTTTGATGATTACTACTTTATTATATAGTTTGAGATCTGGTATCACTAGGCCACCTTCCCTTGTATTTTTATTCCCATTAATTCTTGACCTTTTATTCTTCCAAATAATTTTTTTTGTTACTTTTTCTAGCTCTATCAAGTAATTTTTTGGTAGTTTGACTGGTATGGCACCAAATAAGTAAATTAGTTTAGGCAGAATTCTCATTTTTATTGCATTGGCTTGGCCTACCCATAAGCAATTGATAATTTTTTCAATTATTTAGATCTGACTTTGTGTGAAAAGTGTTTTGTAATTGTGTTCACATAGTTCCTGGCTTTGTCTTGGCAGGTAGACTCCTAAGTATTTTATATTGCTTGCAGTTATTTTAAATGGAATTTCTCTTTCTATCTCTTGCTGCTGGGCTTTGTTGGTCATATAAAGAAATGCTGATGATGTAGGTATAAGTAAGATCTTATATCTTGCAACTTTTTATTAAAGTTATTTCAAGTAGTTTTTTAGCTGATTTTCTAGGTTTCTCTAAGTATACCATCATACCATCTACAAAAAGTGAAAGTTTTGTTTCCTCATTGCCTGTTCTAATTCTTTTGATTTCTTTTTCTTCTCTTACTGCTATATAGCAAACATTTCTAGTACTATATTGAATAACAGCCATGATAATGGGAATCCTTGCTTTATCCCTGATCTTATTGAGAGGGCTTCTAGCTTATCCCCATTACAGATGATGCTTGCTGATGGTTTTAGATAGATACTGTTTATCATTTTAAGGAATGCTGCCTTCATTTCTATGCTCTCTATTGTTTTTAATAGGAATAGGTGCTGTATTTTGTCAAAAGTTTTTTCAGCATGTATGAGATAATCATATGATTTCTGTTGGTTTTGTTATTGATATGGCCAATCATGCTGGTAGTTTTCCCAATACTGAACCAACCTTGCATTCCTGGTATAAATTCCACCTGGTCATAGTGTATAATTCTTGTGTTATATTGCTGTAATTTTGCTAGTATTTTGTTCAAAATTTTTGCATCAATATTCATCAGGGAAATTGGTCTATAATTTTTTCTCTATTTTGGCTCTTTCTGGTTTAGGTATAAGTACCATATTTGTGTCCCCTTTGTCTATTTTTCCGAATAGTTTATACAGTAGTGGAATTCTTTGAATGTTTGATAGAATTCAGTTATGAACCCATGTGGCCCTAGGGATTTTTGCTTAGGGAATTCATTAATGGCTTGTTCAATTTTTTTTTTCTAAGATAAGATTATCTGGGCATTCTATTTCCTGATCTGTTAATCTGGGTAATTTATATTTTTGTAAATATTGATTTTGCTCAGATCGATCAATTTATTGGTATGTAATTGGACAAAATATTTCCTGATTGCTTTAATT